GAACGTGTCGCTGGCGCTGTACGGGATGTCGTTCAAGGAGCTGGGCTTCCAGATGGAGAACGTCAACACCATGTTCTACTCGCGCCACATCGTGCGGCTCGTCAAGGAGAAGGAGGACCCCGTGCTCCTGGAAGAGGAGGAGAAGCCTGCTGGTGGCCAACCCCTTTAGTAGAGCATAGCGCACCAAACCAACAAAGACAAAGAAAAAGTTTATTTCGTATTTTAACAGCGTTACCATGTAATTGGCTGGCCTTCCGCACCAATACCGAGATTCTCTTGCCTTTGGTCCAGCTTGCGATCGGCAGGGAGATGGCGCCATGGCGCAGTCGGCACCGCGCTCCCCTAGTAAGGGAGAGATCATGGGTTCGATTCCCATTGGCGCCATCCCGATTCTAATATTTTTGTATTGCGTGAGCAAATGGCCAACCTTCTCTTTGTTTCTCATTTTCATAATGCAATAAGCCTCTCACAAGTCAGCCAAACAGAGGAGAACAGCGAGTTTGTGCCTTCGTGAACACCCAAAAAAACTCGCCTAGAGCTGAAACACAGCTTCGTGGTTGGGTCGAATACAGTTTTCTTCTTCATGTTACACGTGCGCACGCCCAACCTGAGGCTCTGTGCAATCAATCTCGGTCAGCGTGGCTGTTGGTGGCGCATGTGGCGCTACGTTGGGCACGCGCTGTCGGATGTATTGGCAAAAGTGGCGCATCCAGTAGAACGACTTGGCGTGCGCCATCAGCAGGTCGTACAACTGGGCGAGCAGCTCCGTGCTCTTGTGAGCCACCAGGATGTCCACCTACAGCCAAGTATATGCACAGATCTGTGAATATACTTGGAAGAAATAGCCTATCTAAAATAAATAAATGAATTATATGATAATAGAAGAAAAAAAAAGTACGTACGGGGACCCGCATGAAGAGGTAGTCGTTGATCGTGAGCTCGTGAGTGGTCATCACCATGATCGGCAGCGGGACCTCGAGAAGCAGCAAAACGAAGTTACTGTTGGCCACACACACGCACACACGACCACACAGACACACCACACGACACACACAAAAACTCAGATCTGTGAGAAACATAGTAGGCAGGACTATAACCAGTGTGAGCGCGTACGTGGCCGCATAAAGCTGCTGCTCGCTCCGCAGCGCCCATAGGATGAATGTACGCGTGGCGCACACCTCGCACCGCATCATCGTGTACATCTGCATAGCAAATAAAACATATTTTATATTAAATCGTATTCTCTATAGGCAGAGCCAATCAAGGGAGATGTAGCGGCGTACGCGGGTGCAGGC